CACAACAATTTTGAAGAGTCCAATCAACATCGACTGCAACAGCTGCCCAACTCAGACGGGTAATTCTTCACACGTATGTTTCATCTCTGATAAGACAGATAATGAATGACCTTAAACAGAGAAATTTATCAAAATTCAAAACAACTCTGTACACCTTATTGTTCTTAACAAACACCTCGTCCATAATTTATTGCATGATAAACTGTTACTGCAATGTGTAAGATGCTTTACGACATCAGCAATATTGATCCGAAGTAGACATAAATACGTCTGGTTCAACCGGAACAATATTCGAGTATAAATTCTTCCTGTCAGAATCGATTACAATAGATATAGCAAATTCCATGTATTTGATGATATAATTCCTATTGAGCCTACAATTTCGCTAAAGAAAATGGTTAAAGAATGAAATGGAATAGCAAACGTTGAACACAGCCAACATTTTCATTTCTCACTGTCACAACCAAAGTGCACCGGATAAATATGGGGCGAGGTATGTCAGAATTAAGTTAGCAACTTCACTCGTAGTCGAGATGCAACTGCAAAGTGCAGTTCCCTTTTGCAGAATCATGGATCAGCTTGTGTACAACCTGCTTCTCCACAGCTAGTAGCATGAGCCAAAATGTGATCATTGGCCATGATTTCTACATCAACAGTACTTTCGATATCTTTCTCATATACACGACCAGAGACCATAAAGCTAACCATGCTGAAACATAGAGCAAGATCACACCAGAAGCTACAAAAGTTCCTGCCCCTGATAAACTGCAGAGAGGATAGTTACAGAGGTCAAAGAAACAAACATTCACATGAATCTTCAATCAACAATCAACATCCCTTTTCCTTCAAATATTAGCGTGAGTATAGAACAGAAAAGTTACCTGCTATCTCTGGTAAGGAGAAGGATGGTCAATGCAGTCATCTGAGTGGCTGTTTTCCACTTCCCCAAGTTATTCACAGCAACAGCCTGGAAAATTCATTATTTAATACTGGGATAACTAAATCACGAAGTGGATTACTCTTAAGAGTAAATAATAATAGGTTGATTGTGAACCTCTGAAAGTTTACCACCCTGAGAAGCTGCCCATTCTCTAACTGCAGACATAGTTATCTACAAAAAGATTTGCAAAATGAATAAAAAAAACAGTGTTTATCATTCATCCACAATGAAAAATAACTAAAGATGCAGTGAAAAGATTTTCGAGGAACATGGAAAAGCATTGTATGATGTATATTTGAGAAAAGGTAATAAAAGAGCATCATGGAAAAACAGATATTGCACCTTGAGCAAAAGCGACTACCAGGCTAAATATGGACTAAGATATCTCAAAGACCAGAAAGATCACATACTATGCAAAACTTAATAATCTAAAAATACAATAAGGTTTATCAAGAATATGCACAGTTCCAATCCATGTTCTCAAGAGCTCTCAAATGCCTCTTTCTTTTCAATCTAAGACGATCAGTGCTTGCATGTTTCAGAGAAGTTTATCCTCGCGGCATTACTTGAAATATTCATACTCGATAGTTTACTTGACACAAATGAAGAGGAACAGTTCTAACTAAATACATTTCAGCAAGAAGGATATGAATAATAGCTTCAGGGAACTCTAGAAAAAATATTGTGATTGTAATCCCACACTGTGGGAAACGATAGCAAAGATATTATCTTTTGAACAACTAAACTTATACGTGGAAAATCTATGCGTTAGAATTAAGATAATTTTTTTGATGACCGTGGTATCGGGGCCAGCTTTCACGCACCTAGAATTAAGATAATAATTCAGTTCAACACCAAAAGTACTATTAACTGCTCAACACAATTTACCTCATGATAAATGTCATTTTCATTTCCCTTATAACACAGATCTGTAGTTTCTTACTAATATACTAGAAGCTCAAATTTCTAATCAAATTTAACGTGTATGATGGATCCAATTACTATATGGTTTGAATTTTTCAGTCAAGTTCTTCTTATTCTTCCAGGCCCTTGCAACTCCACCCCAACCTCCCCCCATCACCAGAAAAAACAAGTAAAATAAAAACTGAAATGTGCAGCGGGCAATGATCCAGTGACCACCGAGAGACATGCTCCCATGCCATATAATTGTATACTGATAGAGTGAATAGAATGCTAAAAGAATCAAAACTTTTCACATCAATGCTAACAGTTTTCATGGTCCATCTAACATCTTCTATTTCCCTAAGGCCAGTGTACAATAGAATTTAACAGAAATATAATCTTAGTGAAACCTTCTGCAAATTTAAAAACTCTTTCAGAAACTCATTATCCCAAATGTTCCTCTGGTATACTGCAACAAAAATAACCATGTCGAAAATGAAAAGTGCAAGTCCGTTATGGTGTTTACACACCTACAAGAGAAAAGAACTATGACAACATAGTTCCTGATCTCATGACTATTAATATCACAAACTTAAGTTCTATTTCTGAAAAAAATACCATGTGAAAGGAAATGCAATCTATATTAGTATAAAGCGGCATTATTCCTTCACTAAATCCTCCCTCACTTGTCAGACTGTCATCCAAAGGAAGTTTTACGATATCTTGATTGGAAACCATAATGCTCTAAAGCACGTCGTTATGGCACTTTGGAACACTGCCAATGTGAAAGGAAATGCAATTATGAACAGAAGTACATTAATCCACTCACCTCCCTGCCAATTATAGCAATTGAAGGTACAGTTAGTAGCCATGGCAATTGTCCAAACAAACTAGCCTCCAAAGGTTTGGTGCACAACAAGATCAAGGTGGCAGCGACCATTAGCTGTTGAAGTCGAGAAGAGTTGTATAAAAAATGTCTGCTCTTTTATTACAAGCAATTATGCTGAAGAGTCTCAAACATTATGGATAATGGAAGCAACTTGGCTAGCAAACTGGCCAAACTTCCAGGTAATACCATGTGAGTTAAAGAATAAAGAGAAAATACCTTATCAGCCACTGGATCTAAAAATGCACCAAAGGCAGTTCCTAAGTTCATCTGGACGTGTCAAACCAGCCAATTTTGAAAGTTGAGATAAGAAATTATAATTCAAGAAGAAATGATTCTATTGAACAGCAGAAGCATGTACCTTGCGAGCAAGATATCCATCAAGCCAATCAGTTATTGCTGCAGCAATAAATATACCTGTTGTAGCAGTTGGTCCCCACCAGCTATCAACATAGAATGCTATATTAAAAAGGCTACAAAATCAGTTTTCTTTTACAGTGTATCATCTGAAAACAAATTATGCTGTCCAACCAAGAAAATAGAAAAAGTTATGAAATTCTAAGAAACTTATCCTCTCATCCTGATTTGTCCTAATGACTGTGTAAAGGGTAACAAGTGAAACTTACAATCCAAGAATTTCTGAGATTAAGTAATAAAAGAGATCAGCAAACCCGTATGCCACTCATTAGAAAAGCTTACATAAAAAGCTTACAATAGACTAATAACAAGACAACTACGTTAAATCGTCAGATATCTGAAACGCCTACTCTCTTTATTCAAATATTAAGAAGTTCTATACAGCCTTTAGATCAGAATTCAGGACAGTTTCCTCATATGTATCATCTGTTTCTTGTCTCTAATCAGTATGCACCATGCTCCTCAAGTTAGCAATTCAACAAGCAAAAGGGATTTTTTTTTTAAAAACAAATCTCTTTTTAGTTATTCCAGCTCCCAAACCATTGTTCCATTGCAAAAAGATACAACTAGTTTTTCTTAGTACACGGAATTTCGGCAGAAAATCAGTGGCTTTCTCCTCTCCCACTCATTACACCAATCATTTCACACCAAATTGAACAACTTCCTTTTTTTTCTGGATAAGTCAAATTGAGTAACTTTAATGCAAAACGAATACATACTTCCTTCTTCAATCTAAATGCATCAATCAATTCTACTAATCAACTTAAGACATTGAAACTCACAAAAAGGAGAAAATCAGCTCCAATTACACTCCAATTTCAGATATCACAACTAAATTTACAACACTGCACCCTCTCAATTAGCTAGGGTTAAACAAAACTAATTGTATCCCCCAAAAACTTACTGGTAACGAGAACCGGAATAGCGGCTACACGTCCGATTGTCAAAATTGTAGGCAGTGTGAGCAGTTTAGCAGACTTTGATGGAGCTGATGACGACGATGACGACCTCAATGTCTTCTCCCGGTGGTGATCCTTCTTGTTACCAGGTGTATAGCCCATGCCAGTGGTAGAAATATTCCTCACTGAAAAAGGGGCATACTCCTCCTTCTCCTTCTGACAGGAAAAAACTGAGACCTTCAAGAATGCCGGCACCGGAGTTGAGATCCTCCGGCAACGGTAAATGTGTGTCGGCACCACCGGAAAATTTGTTGTTGGCGCGGCGGTGGAGGAAAAGGTGCGGTAGAAATTGTAGGGCATGTGGCCATAAATAGAGACCGCAGCTTTGAGTTTGAGCCCCACGAGCATCGTCAATTTTTATTTTTTTTGGTAATAATACGCACAAAGGCTTAGGTTAGTCGAGCTGGTTGGTGAAGAGGCTTATTTTGCTAATAATGTCTTTTAACTTGCGCAATCGATCTCAATCATATTTTGGTTTTTCAATTTTGTACGTCAGTACGTGCTTTTCTCATATATCACTAGAAAGATCAGGATCTAAGATACAAAAATCTCAAATTAAATGATATATTTATATTTTATATTTTTTTTTATCTTATAAAGTTACGATTTTATAGAGTAGGTCATTTATAATTTTCTAAAAAATAAAATTTATGTTGTTTTTTTTATAAGAAATTTGTTTTTTCTACTTATAGGTGAATGTTTGGATATTTCATATGAAAATTTGAAAAAAGTATTTTTTGTTTTCAAATGAAAAAATGATAGTAATTGAAAATTAGATTGTATTTGGTCATGAATATAAATTGAAGTAACTTTTGATTTTTTGTGACTGAAAAAGGTAAAAATGTAAAATTTCTGAAAATTTCAAAATTTAACTAAAATTAATTTTGTTTTTCAATTTAACTAAAATCAACTCAAACCCTAATGAACACTCTTGCTCTGAGATCTAGTTCGGTACTCACTGCAGCCCCTCTCTGTTACTCACGGCGTTCTCCTGAAGTTCACCTCTACCGCTGCCGATTAAATCACTGTAATTTCTTCATTTAGGATTACGTTTTGTTTCATTTTTGAAGCAAACTGTTAAATTTACATTCAAATTAGATCACCGTCCTGATCATATATTCATCTCCACTTGATTAATCGCAAGGTTCAAGCAATTTCACAATCAAAGAAACGAATTGATCTCCGGAATGGCGTTAACGAACTTTATACTGACAGTTGCGGGGGTGAGCGCTGTGGTTTTACTGATGAGGAGCGACGTTAAACAGTCTGCCTCCATCTTCAAGCGCAACGTTCGTCAAATTCGCCACTGGCTTGAGGAAGAGTCTGCTTCCGCCGCTAAGTATGTCGTCTACTCGTATTTCTCTTTCCTGTTTCTAATCAAGTATTTGCTCTGTTCATTTTGTTATCTGGTTGAAGTTAGTCGTCTTGTGCTTATAGTTTGCATTTAGTCATCTCTGTTTGGATTGAAAAAGTTATCCAGTGATGAATGGTAAGTGATCAGCAAAAGAAGTGGCCATTTTCGTAGAACTAGTCGTGTTATTGTACAAGGGTAGCAGTGTGAGAAGTAACTGACTAGCTTAACACTAATCAGTTCTAGTTAGAATGTTCTTGGTTCTTTTCTTCCTGCTAATTTCCTCCATAACTCAAAATGTGCCATATCTGCTATTATACCTTTGGGTAGAAAGAAAGTACCCTGTTGAAGAGAAGAATGGAAGTTACATAATGGTTTATATTCTTCTTCAACATTAGGCCGGTCAAAAGGTCTTAAAACGGTTCGGTTCAGTTGGTCATTCCACTCGCACATTTAGTGTTCAGCCCCCTTTGCTATTGGTAGTACAGCTCGACAACTGGCCAATTAGTGTCCAAGCATAGAGAAAAGTTGTTGCCACATTTTGCTTGTAAACATTGGAGCTCTATCACTGATGATGTCTTCTGGTATACCATGAAGCTTGTATATGATATCCAAAAATAGTTTTGGAATATGATAGCAAAATTCAATGCATAATAACATGAAACAATATGTTTTATTCTTCTATAGTTAGAAGCCTAAGTCCCATAGAACTGTTTTATGAATTTTATTCAAAAACTCTTTCTCCTTGCGCTTCTTTTTTTTCATTCATCATTTCTCGTCTTCCCTTGTATCTTAATCTTTGATCATCTCATTTTTTCATATTTGTTTCTCTTTATATTGAATCCTTCACTTTTGCTTGTTTGGTTATTAGTTGCAGTCATCATTCTGTTTGTGTGAATGAGATAGACGTGACATTCCATTGATATTCTTGTAGGGGGATGGAGAAGGCAAAGCCGAAGGAGATACCTCAGAAGGACATCCCCAAAGACGACAAACACTAGATTGATTCCTCTGTCGAAATACATGCTTATCAGATGCCTTGCGATTTCTCAACTACCATTTCAAATTTTGTTCCATAACATATGACTAATTTAGACTCCCCATTAGTGTATGTATCCTGTTAAATATACTTTTGCCATTTTTGGTATTGGCAAAATGAGTTATTTTCACATACTGTGTCACCATAGAGCTTTCAAAATACTAATTGACATGAACTGAACTCTCTTGTAAGATGTAATAATCATGATCTCTCAGATTCTCTTGTATCTTTGAAGCTACTAGGTCAAATAACATTTGAGACATCAGTTGTTTTTTATTTTGTTTCCCACCCAGTATTTGGTACTCGCATTGGAGCCTGACTATTTCGGATTAGCGATGTGTGGGTCCATTCGGGGAGAAGCGCTCCCTACCAAACTTAGAGTTCAACAATTTTTTTCCTTTTTGATGATGAAAAAATGGTTACAGGTCCTTTAACTTGTAACCTATCTTCTACCGGCAATTATATTGTTTGTTAATGAAACATTGGAAGCTCTCTTTTTGTTCACTTTTACTTGATAATGATTATAAGTATTTTATTATAATATCCATATCAATTGATGTATAGTTTTAAGTTATAGAAATGATTTAGAGAATAAATAATTAATATTGGAAGTAAAACAATTTTTTTAACGTGTTAAAAGTGATAGCTAAAAATAAAAAAGAGACTATTTTTGAAATATTAAACAAGTAAAAGTAAAGACAGTATTGTTTTGAGTTATGGAATATTTACTATTGAAGAAACTAGCTAGCATGTACAGATAAAAGTGTTACGACCCGAATATGGCCATTCGATCCTAACATAAGGTATCTAATCAAAGTAAAAGTAGGAAACTGGTACCCACCCTTAATTCACTCCAATCGATATGCTTTTATACAATTAAGTTCAATCTAATAGAAAGGAAGTCGTAGCCTACCTTAAGGCCAACCGCGCGCGCTCCAAATCACTTTGTCGGAGCTTTTCCTTCCCGAACGACCCTTGAACGCTGTCACTCTATCAAATATAGGATCACAACGTTAGTACGGTCGTTTAGACACCAAAATCACAACAAACGGAGACGGGTCAATTTTGGAGTCAAAACGGAAATCGTGGGACCCGCACCAAACTGTTCGGATTTGACTCCGTCAAGTACCCCAAACTTGTGTTCCAAAATGGAACACAATTCGGGGCTCAAAACGCAGCAAAACAAACATGCAAGGAAAAATCACATTTTAATCAACTTAAAAGAAAACATGCAACAGTCTAAACTCAAAATTTACGAGAACCGAAAGGTGCCCAGCACTCCTTGAACACTCCACGACGTAGCCACGACAATTCCCAACATGTGGGACTTCGAATCACCCAAAACCGAGCCAAAATGAGTGAGATATGACCAAAACAAGGATGCCAAAAACAAAAGGTCGAAAAATGGCATAACAGTCAGGTTTATAATCAAATTTACCTCGAACGACGTGCATCTGACAACTTCCGAACACTCTACAGCGAAGCCATCGAAAATACGAAGCTCCCGTACTTCGAATCGCCTAATTCGATTGAGAGATGAGAGAGATATGAGGATTTTAAGTTTGGAAAATGATTGCTGATATTTCTGCATTTTATAGCAGATTTTTCTGCATTAACTTTCCAAAAACTTAAAACTCCGACGGGTGCTCCAATCTCGTTCGGAACTCCGTGCATGCAAATGAGATAAGCAACCATACCAAATTCAATATTCCGGACTCAATGGCACAATCGAAATTTCCATACGAGGTCATCTTGACAAAAAGTGGGTCCCATACCCAACCGTCATTTTAAGTCAAAAACCACAAAAGGGCTCGGAAAAATATCGGAAACCTTGGGACACAAAAGAAGGGTCAATCTAGACCAAACTCCGACATTCCGGAGCTAACCGCGCTGACGGAATTCTCATCCGAACGCGTTTACTCAAAATGTTGACTAAAGTCAAACTTAGGCTTAAACTTAAAGTTAGAACGCCTAATCGCACAGACTCACATTGAAAACCTCGGGAGTCATGCCGACCATGTTACAAGCCTAAAATGACCCTTCCGGAGCTGATGAAATCGTCAGAATTGGATTATGATGTCATCTTCTTGAACTTTTGATCAAAAATGATCATTCAAGGTTCATAAGCTCCAAAAACACTAAAACTCGCACAATAACCAAATGAACGACCAGGTGACTGAACTCTCACTCCCAGCAAGTCATAAATGACTTAGGGTCGCTACATGAATGCTCTAAACGACACACAAAAGGCAAAACACAGAAATGACTAGGAGGGTCGTTACAATATTGGTACTCATGCAACACTCTGCATCTACTTCGTGATGTAGGTCCCAGTACCAGTTACCAGTTGTAATTAGTTCCAGCCTTCTTTTGCAGCTGTGACTCAGAGACGAGGGTGAGCACTTGGCGTTTTGGGTTTGTTCTGTCTCTTTATTTTGTTTTAGCTAGTCTTGTTACTTTTGAGACACGCTCTGTGTGGTCCACTTTTGGGACTTGTACTCTTTATTAGATAGCTCTGTACTAGTGACTTCCAAGTTCTGGGAGGGATTTCTGTATATATATTTTTTTGGTTTGCTTCCACCTTGTTGTCGTTGTTTAGATTATTGTTTTCGCTAGTTTCTGCCTTTATGCTCATTGCTTGATGTTCTGGGTTACGGGTTGACTTACTTACTGGTAGGGTATAGTAGGTGTCATCATGACTCGAGAAATCGGATCGTGACAAAAAGGAAGTTGCTCAAATAACAAGATTGTGCGTTCGAGTTATCAAACGACCAAAAAGGTGGAGGCATGAGCATGTTGATTATTGTAACCACCAGTATTAGATTTGTCAAAAACTTACTTTTTTGTTTCTTTGGCATGCAATCACTAATCAATTACTCCTTTTGTCCTAATTAGTCACAAATCAATCACTCATTTTGTCTTAATTTTTAGATTTTTTAAGTGTAGATTTTTTTTTTCTTAAAAGAAATATATAAACTAAAATTGTAAAAATCTAGCCAAAATTGACTATCTAGTAAAATCAACACAAATATTCTTCATAAAATAAAGAGAGTTAAATAAAAAAAATGGAGAAAAAGGAAAAGTTGCTATTTAAAAAAAAAATGAAACATTGATTAACACTCGTATTTTATCATAATATCTATATTAATTTGATTAGTATAGTCTTAAGTCTTGAAAAATAATTTTGAAAATAAATAATTAATAATGAAAGTAAAACAAAAAAAATACAGTTGTCTTTTCTTCCTGTATTGAAATGACAAATAAAAATAAATGAAGAAATAACTTTTATTTGACTAAAAATAAATTAGTGAAAACACCATTTATTTTGAAACGGAGCAAAAAAAAGTAAAGAGTTTTTTTTTTTGGAGTTTGGACAAAAGTCAGGGGCCAAGTGGCCAATCAATGGGGCCTAGTTCATTTTAACCTGATCCACCATCCCTGAGATCTCTCTTTTTTTCTCAGAAAATCTCTCCCCTTTTTTTTTCACTCACACTCTGAACTCCGTGTTAAGGAATCACACAGCACATACCGTCAGAATAACGTGACGCTAAACTCGCTCTCTTCCATGTGAGCATGGAGCATTTGAGTAGAATGCTAGCAAAAAAAAGTTGAAAATTCAGTTGAAATAGAGTTATTTTTCGGATTTTACGGAGAATTTTAAGGGGGAAAGAGGTTTGAATCAGTGTTGACGGTGAGGATTTTGGAGAATTGTTATTTGTATGATGACGAAGACGAATGCTGAAACAACTGTGTTGAATCCTTGCATCATTTCTTTCGATCATAAGAGGTATACGTACAGTCAGTTCGTTTTTCTACCTTTTCACATTGTATATCTGTTTGTAAATCGTTTTGATCCATTGTCTGAAGCTGCTGGATTCTGGATTACACTTCACCGGACCAAAAAAAAAATGGAAAAAAATGATGATATGTAGTGCTGAAAATGAACTTTATTTAGATTAGGCATAATATATAAACAGATACTCAAATTTGCCCTGAGCTGACAAGTTAACACTACAACTTATGAAATGATCATCTGGAAACCTCTAAAATTTATGTGTATTGTGTCCATGAGACACAGTGAGCACAAGTTGGAGTGTTTAGTTGTAGTTGAGGTGTCTAGATGTGTGCAATCAAAGTTGAAGTGCTTAATTGCTAGATGAGGCGAAGTTTGAGTACTTGTTTATGTATTATGTCTTTAGATTATTGTAATTCTGTTTTGATAAATGAGTTTAAAGTGAGTATTGATTAGTATGACCGAGATTTGAAGTGTTGAATAGCAATTTTGAGTGTTTGGTGAAGCAGTGGATACTAACTGAGTGTTTTCTCGATAATTTGTGTTTACTAATTTTATCAGCTATTGCAGAAGCTGCTGGCTGGTAAACAATTAAACAAGTGAAGTGGCAAACAGTCGGTTGTTGTGTTCAATTAGCTTGCATTGTCTTATTTTGATTTTTATAATGCTGTCATGAAACTTTTGAAAAAATAAATTCATTTTGAAAAATAATGCTCAATTATGAAGAAATATCTAATTTAATGTATTTTTTTGGGAAATTCTTCTCATCAAGATTTTTGTTTCAATCAAGCTTTCTTCTACAAAAGTTTTTGACCAATGACTATCAATATGAACAGGGATGCTTATGGATTCTCTGTACGGCCTCAGCATGTACAAAGATATCGTGAATATGCTAATATCTACAAGGTACTATCTTGTCATGATTACAGGTTTTAGTAATTAATGTCCTATTTATTGGTGAGAAGTTTGTGTAAAGTAGAGAGAAGGGATAGAAGAAAGAAGAGCATTCAACTAAACGAATTTTCATCCAACTAATTAGCCACACAAGAAGCATAAAAAAACCCAGCTGAACGATGTTGAGAAGCTTCCGTCCATTGTACTTCTACCACAGTTCTCAGCAACCATGCAAAACTTTTCTTTGATTTATAGAAAAAAATCTTTTTCTGATTGTTATAATCTGTTTGTGTTGTTTTTAGGAAGAAGAGGAAGAGAGGTCAGATAGGTGGAATGACTTTTTGGAACGTCAGGCAGAGTCTGCCCAATTGATCATAAGTGGGGTGTCTGTAGACGGCAACTCCAGCAGACCTGATACTGGATCATTGTTGCAGAAGGCAAGCTCCTTTTCACAGAATGGAGATGAAGACAATAATCAAACCGTAGAAAAGCGTGGTTCTGAGGGTCATCTTGAAGGTGCAATAGAGAAGGATGATACAACAACCTCAGTTGTGAGAAAAACTCATCAGGCCCAAATATGGTCGGAGATCAG